TAATTAATTTAATCATTTATCTTAAATTTTCATTTAAAATTTTTATTCTCCCTATCTTGGGAAAATTTCAGGGATGGTGTGAATGGGATGACCTGATCCAAGACCACACGACTTCATGTACCAATCAATTTAAAAGGCTTATTTGCCCCTTCTCCCATTACCAGTTTTAGCCTGTAATCGAACAGAGTACTCCATTTTTCGGCAAAATGGGATTTTCAGTACTCTTTCTGTTCATAATTTCCTCTGCTTTTCACATAAATCTCACTTCCTCCGCCGATATTGCTGATGATTTTCGGTCGAGTTGTGACGGCAGCAACGGTGATTTCATCGCTAACAGTACCTACAAGGACAACCTCAATCTTCTCTTCTCCAACCTCTCCGATCAGGATTACAATCACGGGTTCTATAATGTGTCCGTTGGCCAGAGCCCTGACCAGGTCAACGCAATTGCACTCTGCAGGGGAGACCAAAACGAGGACATCTGCAGAAGTTGCCTGAAAAACACCACCGCAGCGCTCCAACAAACCTGTCCCAACAAAACAGAAGCAATCGGATGGTCGACATTCTGTACTTTACGCTACTCAAACCGACAAATTTACGGAGTTATGGAAGCCGATCCTTCTGCTGCAATATGGAGAACCGATAATTTATCGAAGCCATCTGATCCTGATGGGTTCAACCAGACCTTGAGTTTCTTGTTGAAAAATTTAAGCACCCGTGCGGCTGCCGGGGATCATAATTTCAAGTGTGCAACGGGCGTGACGGTTAAACCTGACAAAATTTACGCCTTAGTGCAGTGTACCCCGGATCTGTCCCAACAAAATTGCAGCGATTGTCTAGAGAAGGCCATGTCCAATGAAAGGATGGGAAGCTCCTGCTATAGATTAACCGGATGCAGAATTTTGCAACCTAGCTGTAACTTAAGATATGAGATTGACAAATTTGTGGATTCTGTAGATGTTACCGTTGAGCCACCTCCACCTCCACCTCCACCTCCTCCAAGTCCAGAAGGTAGCTGTATTTTACCGCTTGCATTGATCAGTTTTAAAGATTGGGGACAGTTTTACAAGCTCCCCTATCTTATTAAGTTGGAGTACAATTTGAGAAGTTCTTACATTTATATTTAGTGCTTGAAGAAATTTATTTCTTTCAATTTTGTTTCTAAGGAAAAGGCAACAGCACAAGTACAGCAATCATCATATCCACAGTTGCTTCACTCCTTGGGGTTCTGTTGCTTGTGCTTTGGATATTTTTAAGAAAAAGAAAGGCAAAGGAAACTGTTGAAAGTAAGTAATAATTTGTTTGAAATCCATTCCTTCTGCTGGGGAATTAATGTGATTAATTATCTTATCACCATGTGTTGCTGTTGGTAGCTACTGAGGAAATGATAGTAGCCGAGTCTTTGCAATATAACTTTGCCACCGTCCAGGCAGCAACTAATAACTTCAATGATCAAAATAAGCTTGGACAAGGAGGATTCGGAGCGGTTTACAAGGTAACGAAGCTTATGAAACAAAAAAGAACACTACACATTTAGAGATATTTGAAATTTTGTATTTATAAGAGTCTCATTTAATTTATTTGTGTTTTATGTATAGGGTCGCCTTTCGAATGGACAAGATGTAGCTGTAAAAAGGCTCTCTAGAAGCTCTAAACAAGGAGATACAGAATTTAAAAATGAAGTTCTCTCAATGGCCAAGCTTCAACACCGTAATTTGGTCAGACTAGTTGGTTTCTGCCTGGAAGGAAATGAAAGACTCCTTATCTATGAATTTGTGCCAAATTTAAGCCTTGATCAATTCATATTTGGTACGTACTTGTTCCATTTTTCTCTGAATCCAGATTTTAATTTTGTTCAAAAATAATTTCATTTGAGTTTGCATACTTCCAAGGAGTTGCACCTATATGTCCTCGTTGTCTCTTAAGCCAAAAACATTTTTAAAATTGATATCCTAATGACAAGTCCTTGCTTTGTTTTGTTTAATCACATACTCATATGAACTATAAACATATATATAGATCCAATCAAACGTGAGCAATTGGATTGGGAAAGGCGTTACAAGATCATTCTAGACATTGCTCGTGGCCTTAATTACCTTCATGAGGAATCTCGTGTTCGAATTATTCATCGTGATCTTAAAGCAAGTAACATTTTATTAGATGAAGATATGAAAGCCAAAATTGCAGATTTTGGCACAGCAAGGTTATTTGCAAGAGATGAAACACAAGGCAACACTAGTAAAATTGTGGGAACTTAGTAAGTATCAAAAACAGTAAAAATTTGATTTCTTTTTTATACACAAGTATCCAAGTTGCTTTGTTCCAAATTGACAGCATGTAAATATTAAGAATGATTTTATTGTGTATTGCATTAAGATAATACTCGAACATGACTTTTGAACCCATAATACCATTTTTTAATTAATAACGAAAATAATTTCATTGACATTGTTATATATGTAGTGGATATATGGCTCCAGAATATATAATATATGGGCACTTCTCAGCAAAATCAGATGTTTTTAGCTTTGGCGTGTTAATGTTGGAAATTGTCAGTGGTCAAAGAAATAGTTGGTTTGTAGATGGAGAGGCCCTTCTAAACCATGTAAGTATGAAAATCTAATAGATGTTTCACTCTTGTTATAAGTAATGGTTCAAATATCATTTCGATTTCATTGCAAATGCAGGCATGGAAAAATTGGACAGAAGGGACAGCTTCAAATCTCATAGATCCAACTTTGAGGAATGATTCAAGGATTAATCAAATGACTATCTGCATCCACCTTGGATTGCTATGTGTTCAAGAAACTGTTGCTGACAGACCAACCATGGGTTCAATTGTGCACATACTTAATGATAACTCAACTACTCTGCCAGTGCCCTCAAAACCTGCATTTCTTGTGCACACCACCGTTGTATCATCAAACACATCATCCTCACAAAGATTAAGGGACAAACCACTCCCCTCTACCAAAAATGATGCTTCAATCACAGAGCCATATCCTCGGTAGTTTTTGGGAATCAAAGGTACAGCTAGTAGTACTAGCATAATATTGATATTGTGTTGTTCAAAAGAAAATATTTGTATTGTGTTAGTAAAATGTTGAGGGAGTAGAAACAAAAAGGAATAAAAGTAGCTTAGTGAAAGCTCAGGAGTGTGTAAAATGTAATTGATTGTGAGTTCTATTTTAATATTTTTATTGGACCTTGTATAAATTGTAGCTGTATGGCATTCAGTTCACTGTAAGACATATGTTTAATAAACCTTTGTAAGCCATATCAAAAAGTATTCCTATTGAGAAGAGATGTTGGCTTCTAAAACAACTTAATTAATTCTCACTAATACCAAGTTAAAAATTAGACTAATTCCATGTATGCTTAAGCTTTTAAAATATCTTTTTTCGTGCAAAATCTAAACCTTTTTCAAACACAATATGTGCTTAAACACTCTTCAATATCAACAAGAAACTCCATAGGGAGATGATCTTGAGTGGATGCAGCATCAATCTCAACAAAATTTTGGCAAATACTACCCTTTTCTATTCTTTGTAGCCTTGTCTAGAGTCAATGGGGTACCAAATGCATTAACAATGTGATTCAGCCTTTAATTAAGGGCAGAACGGCTCCATGGCTACACCCTAAAGTGTTGTTGAGAGGTAAAGTCCCACATTGAAGATATAGCTAAGAACATGTGCCTTAAATACAAGGAGACTCATTCTACCTATTGCTAATTGATATAGGGTTAAAAGCAAGCCTTACATTTTAGCTCATATATCTGTTAAATTTTCACATGATATTAGAGTGGTCCAATGTGTCGAACTTTGCCATAGGAATATTTTGGATCTTGAGGGAGTTCTTTTTGTTGTTGTTCCTACTTGCTCATATAACTGTTCTTTATGGTCAACATGCCTTGGCCCAAAGTTTAATCTCCATTTTCAAAATTCAATGCATGCTAAGAGGACTTGAAGTTTATAGTTAAATCCATTTGTTATAACAATGTTCATGTAATAGGACTCAAAATTCATACTAAGCTTGTATATATGGATGGCATGTTAAGTAGGAACTTAGTAAGTATATCAATGAAAAATAGTAGAATTGATTTTTTTTTCTTATACACACATAATATTAGCTTTGTTCAAAATTGACAGCATAGAAGTACCAAAAATTATTTTTTTTATTAGCAAAATTAATTCATTAAAGCAAAAGAGGCACAAGATATGCTCATTGTTAGAATATCAACATTTATTTTAGAATATTAGTATTTATGTTAGAATATTATGTTTACATTGTAATTGATTATATACATTTAAGCTAATTAGTTTTATACCTAGGAATATTCTATTATATAGATTTATATAGAGAGCTTTTGTATGTACAATGAAAACAAGAAAGTAATAAACCTTTCTTCAAATGTTTCTCCTTCTTTTCTATTTCTAACATAGTATCAGAGTTATAAACTCTTGATTCTTCTCTTTTATCATCACTATTTGGTTTTTGAGTTAGATTTTCAAAATCATTTTGGATTTAAAACTTTATCATTGGGATCTCTTCTCTTACCGATTAGATTGTTTATTCTCAATTTTCAGGAACTTTTTAAGATATTTTGTTGAGTTGTTATTTCAATATTAGCATCTATTTTTTCATATTTTTAGAGTTTTTGTTTTTCAATATTATGATTTTTACTAATTCTATGGTGAGTTTTGAAAAGATCGTAACTCATCCTATTATTGCTATAGTTGCCAAAGAAGTGATAGACCAACCTAATGTCAACCTCGAATTCCTAAAACATGTGATATTAAATCCTTTTAATACTCATACTACATTATTCGCTGCTCTAGGTGCCAAACCTTGGTATTTTGATTCTAGTTATAGTAACCATATGTCCTCAACTACTACTTATTTTTCTTCAATGTTACCAAATAATTCCTTTCTTGATATTTATTTTGTTGATGGTTCCCCTATGAATGTTAGTCACATTGGCAATATTTTAACAAAGTTATTGACTTTACCAAATGCTCTTTTGGTTTCAAAACTTAGTTATAATCTTCTATCTGTTGGTCAATTATGTGATCTTGGTTTTGAAATAACATTTTTTACTCATGGTTGTCGTGTGCAAGACCCATAGATAGGACAACTTCTTGTAACTAGTTGTAAGGTGGGGCATATGTTTAGCTCAATTATCTGTACATTTTACATCATAAAATGGATACACCATCATTTACAAATGATCACTTCATCTAAAACTGCTTTGTGTTGGTGAGTTAGAGTCTTTGCGAATTCCATACCAACAAATTTTGTAGCCCTATGCTATTACTAACATTTCTCCTCTTCATTTGTGGCATTTACAGCTCGAACATACCTCAATTGGTAAACTTTATCTTCTTATCTCTTGTGGCTTATTAGGATATGTTTCGAATGAATCCTTATATTGGTTGTCATGTCAATCTGCAAAACAACAAGCATTATCATTTTCAAGTAGTCAGTCTTTTTCTGTTGCTTCTTTTGATCTCATGCATTCTAATGTTTAGGGCTTATCTCCTACACCCATCATGGGGGATTCTAGGTAATTTGTGTTATTTATTGATGATTATATTCGTTTTACCTATATATATCTTATGAAAATTCACTTTGAACTACCACAACTTTATATAGATTTTGTTACCATGGTAAGAACCTAGTTCTTTAAAATTATCTAACTTTTAAGAACTAACAATGCTGCTAATTATCTTAGTACTAAATTTCAATCATTTCTAAAAGAATAGGGTACACTAACACAACAATCTTGTCCTTACACTTCTGAACAAAACGAGTGAGCCAAATGCAAAAACAGACATATCCTTGATTTCGTTCATGCTTTGCTTATTTTATCTTCTTGTCCAGAATGATTTTAGGGTGAAGATGCTCTTATAGTTGTTTATCTCATTACTTGCATTCCATCGTCAATCTTCAATAACCAGTCTCCATATGAGAGTTTGCATAGTATTCTTCTTGCCTATGATCTTTTTAAGGTTTTTGGTTGTGCATGTTTTTATTTCTTCCACCTCATGAACATAACAAGTTAAAGCCTAAAACTCGATTATGTTGTTTTTTGGGTTATGGGATTGCACAAAAAAGATATCATTGTTCGGATCTTATGTCACAAAAACTCCAAGTTTCACGTTATGTTATCTTTTAAAAACACACTATATTCTCATTGTTGTCAAACTTTAAAGTGTCATCCTGTCATCAACCTTTATTTTTTACTAATTCTTTTGTTAAGCTATTTCCTGGTGATTATGATGTAGGTACATCTAATGAGCTCTACAATGCCTCACCACATGTACTAACTAGTTCTATAAAAGATGATTTTCCTGTTAGTAATGCATTAGATAATTCCGAGCCTTCCTTCACTTCCTCGTCCATATCGCTTATTGATATTGTTAAGTTTACAAATGAGCTTGTTATTCTACCTTTGAGTTATTCTACCTTCGAGTCATCCTACTTAGATAAGAAACCCTCCAAGCTACCTTCATGATTATTATTGTTTTCCTACTATTACTTCTTTACATGAGCCTCAATCCTATTGAGAAGCCTTTTTTAACCCTTTTTGGCAACAAGCTATGCAAGATGAATTACAGGCTCTGGAGAACACTCATACATGTGATTTAGTTGATCTCCATACTGAAAAGTCTCTGATAAGTTGCAAATGGGTGTACAAGATCAAAATGAGATCTAATGGTTTTGTGGAGAATTATAAGGCACGCTTGGTTACCAAGGGTTTTACATAGGAATATGGAACAAACTAGGAAGAAACATTTGCTCCAATTGCTCATCCCACATCTCTGCGCAATTTACTTACTATCGCTACCATACGAAGATGGAATTGTTTTAGATGGATGTGAAAAGTGCTTTTCTTAATGGTGACCTAGAAGAAGTTTATATGGAACCACCTCCTAGACTCAATCATCCTCTAAATAAGATATGCCAATTAAGATGTGTCTTACACAATTTGAAGCAATCTCTTCGAGCCTAGTATGCAAAGTTTAATGCTACTATGAGTGAGTTTGGTTTTACTTCCAATCCATGTGATATAGCTTTGTTCATTTGTAAAATTGCTTCGGGTATGGTTCTTTTACTTCTTTATGTTAATGATATGATTATCACTACAGATGATATCGCAGGTGTCAATGGGCTAAAATGGTCTCTCAGTTAGAAATTTAAGGAGAAAGAACTTAGTATTATGAGCTATTTTCTAGGGCTTGAAGTCACCTCTTCAAATGATGACTATTTTTTTCTCAAGTAAAGTATGCCTTTTTAAAGCTGAATTCAATGATAATAAGAGTGTTTCTACACCTCTTGAAGCTAATGTTAAGCTTAATGTTAAACTTACACTTATGGATGGCTTTCCACTTTTTTTATCATACTTGCTATTGGCAATTGGTTGATAGTTTAGTTTATATTACCACGATATGTCCTGACATAGCATGTGCAATTCACATTGTTTGTTAGTTTGTTAGTTTATAGCTACTCCTTACTCCACTTGTTATGTAGTAGTACTTCGCATTAGTTTCTATGTTAAAGGAACATTATTTCATGGACTCCATTTTTCCATTAACTCTTCCCTTGTGCTTCATCCTTACTCTGATGTTGATTGGGTTGATAATCCTTTTGATTGTAGATCTACTATTAGTTATTGTATTTTTCTTGGTAATTCATTTATCTTTCGGCAGAGTAAAAAACAAACAATTGCATCTTGCACTAGTATTGAAGCTGAGTATATAGCTCTCGATGATACCACATTAGAACTTCTTTCATTACAATGGCTTTTTGAAAATATAGGTATTCCTCAACTTTCTTCTATTCGTTTGTATTGTGATAATCAAAGTATTATGCAGATTGCTTACATTGATGTCTTCCGTGAATGCACAAAGGGAACTATTTGTTTGGTTTTCATTAGTTCTGCTGATCAACTTGCAGATTTGTTCACCAAGGCACACTTCCTTAATCACTTCCAAACTCTTATTTCCAAACTCAAGTTGGTTTCTTCACCACCACCTTGAGTTTGCAGGAGATGTTAGAATATCAGCATTTGTTTTAAAATATTAGTATATATGTTAGAATATCATGTTCACATCATAATTGATTATATATTTTTAAGTTAATTGGTTTTATACATAGGAATATTTAATTACATAGATCTATATATAGAATCATTGTATATACAATAAAAACAAAAACGCAATACACCTTTTTTTCAAATATTTCTCCTTCTTTTTTGTTTCTAACATAAATTAAAAACAAAAATTTAAATATACAACCGTGCATATAATATGGGAAACTAATTGAATTAACTACATGTATATTATATTTCAATTGAGAGTATTGGCCATGTGTGTCCAAATCATTTTCCAAAAAAGAAACATAGAACAGACCTAACATCCGAAGTACATGGATTTGGCAACCTTTTATGTTCTCTCTTGTTGATGGATTCTAGAGGACCAAATCATTTTCGTTAGTGAGAGACAAACATTTCACTCCGTAGCGCCCGCTGATGAACTTGGCAGCAAGAGCTAAGCATACCAATCCATTACATGAACCAACTATTCTTGCTTGACCTTTTTTTTATTTTCAATTTATAGTCAAA